CGGGGTGGGAGAGAAGGTCTGAAAGTAGTCAACTTTCTGCCGCTAACTGAAGCCTCGAGCCACGTAACGCGCCTTGAAGACAGGCGGAGAACCCGACGGCCGCTTCACCCTGAAAATCCACATGCCACTGACGATGTTCGCCCCAGGTGGGGGAACCTCGTCGACGTAGGTGCCTGTGGACTTCCAAGAAGCCATCTCTGCGTCCATGGCTGACTGCCACTGAGAGGAGTAGGGACTCTCTATCGCCTCTGCGTAAGAGCGCGGAGTCGGGATGTCTGCTGCATCCGGGTCTCCCTCAGGGGCAATCAGCATGGACACGAGATGAGGCAAAGCAGCAGCAAAACACTGGAACTCCTCCTGCCTGTCCTCAAGGACGTCCGTGCTAAGAGCACACTCACCCCCGACGGACGGAGGACAGACAGACTCAGACTCAGCAACAAGACTAGCGGCGTAGTCTAGACGACAGCGAGTAGCGAAGTCGACAAGCTCAGCAACTAAGGCAGACGCAGCAGTGGACGCAAAGGAAGGGTCAGTGACAGCAGTAGCCAGGAGACGCGTGACAGTAGGACTTGCAGCACGAAGAGAGTCAGACTCCGGGTCAGCAAGAGCAGGAAGAGAGGACTCTGGGGGAGACGGCAAAGGGACACGCAGTGGAGCAGTGGAAGGACGCAGTGCCATCTGGTGTGTGCCCGGGACCGCAGGAGGACGCTGACGCAGAACACGACGACTAGTGCGAGCAGCACGAACAGGCGACGCAGGACGAGACGCGGGCTCACGACGCTCAGCAAGACCTCCAGTAGGACCAGTGTAGGGAGGAGGAGCAGGCAGTGGGGAGGCGGGCTGTAACTGTGACTCGGACTGGACAGGCAGTGGAAACTCTAAGGAAGGAGCAGGACCAGTAGAGGGCGGAAGACCAAGAACCTGCTCAAGGAGCGGAATGAAGTACGGCCGTGGCCGCGCAGCACCTCCACAACCAGCAGGGATAGGACCAGCACCCCCACGGTCGGCCACGACTCCAGCAGCTCCACCAGCTCCAGGAGCAGCTACTCCAGCACCCACAGGAGCACCTGCAACAGCAGCACCTCCAGCTCCAGCAGGAACACCAGAAGACCCAACAGCCATAGCTCCAGCACCTCCAGTAGCACCTACTCCAGCACCACCGCTAGCTCCAGCACCGCCAGCAGCTCCAGCACCAGGAGCAACCCCAGGCCCAGCAGCTCCAGTACCTCCAGTACGAGCACCTCCGGGACCCGTGGCGTCAGCACCCTCAGCAGCAGTAGAACCTCCAGCTCCAGCGGCACCTCCAGCTCCAGCAGCACGACTCCAGCGCCGAGCAAACCACTCGCGCAGCTCCTGTGGAGAGGGTAGCTCCCGCCGGAACGAACCACCCGAAGGACCTCCAGACCCAGCACCGCCAGACTCCACACGAGCAGGCCCAGCACCCTCAGGCTCCGCACCCCCAGTCGCAGCACCCCCAGGCTCAGCACCCCCAGACTCAGCACCCCAGACCCAGCACCCCCAGGCTCAGCACCCCCAGACTCCGCACCCGCAGGCTCAGCACCCTCAGCAGCACCAGAGTCAACAGCTACCTCGACAGGCTCGACTGCGTCTACCTGGGACACACCTGAGGGGGCAGGACCCTGAGGGGGGAGGGGGTCTACCGGGGGAGGACCTGGCGCGAGGAAGAGCGGCGGGGGGGGGAGAGGGGCAGTGCGGTAGGGGAAGAGACGGTAGTAAGGAACCGACTCGTCAAACGTGACGTCCTGGGAGGACAGAACACGGCGCAAGGTGGGGTGGTAAAACTGCCAACCAGGCGCGTCAGGGGGGAAGCCAAGGAAGACGCAGGGAACAGCACGAGGGGACAGCTTGTCCGCAGACAAGTCGCGGACAAAAGCCCGAGATCCCCAGACACGGAACGCAGACGCATCGCCAACCTTCCCCGTCCACCGCAGAGTAGGGTGGGTCACTCGCTGACTCGCAGGAGTGAACTGGTCAACCCCCCCATCCTGTAGGTCAGCACCACTCACCAGGTTCGTAGAGAACGAGGGAAGGTAAAGACCTGACAGGGTGCCAGAAGGGGCCGCCGGACACGGTAAGACAGTGGAGAAGTGGGCAAGGACAGGACCCCCAGAGGGGTCTGCCAACGAGACTGCAACCTGCCGACTAAGTGGCGTTAGTGTGGTGCGGTCTCGAAAGAAGGAGCGGGAAGCACCCGAGTCAAGGGTGAAAGTGTGCAAAGCCTGAGCGGACGCGGTACCTGAGAGAGCAGACTCACTAGCACCTGGGGCAGCAGACTCACCAGCACCTGGAGCAGCAGACGCACTAGCACCTGGAGCAGCAGCCTCACCAGCACCTAGAGCAGCAGCCTCAATGCCCGGGTCAGACGGAACACACAGGTAACAGTCACCCTTTTTTTTTAGTAGACACAACATACATGGCAGCAAGAATAGCATCATAATCAAGATCAAAGATAGCAACCCCCGACCTAAGCAACTCGCCCCAGCGAGGGATCTCAGTGGCGTCAGGGAACTGGAGACGCCAGGCGTCTGTCAGGCGGCCGAAGCGGCGCTGGGTGGTGTGCGGGCCACCGCACGGCTCACCAGTGCGGTCGCCGGTACGCAGGACGTAGGCACAGGGACCAGCACCCCCACCCCGCTGACGCGCAGCATACCACTCACGAAGCTGCTGAGGGGGCGGGATCTCACGAGTGCGCTGCTGCTGCTGGCGGTGACCACCACTGAAGCCGCCCCGCTGCACAGAGCCACCCCGACCAGCTCCACCGTCGCTGCCACCGCCGCCACCACCGCCTCCTCCGCTCCCACCGCCACTGCCGCCGCCGCCTCCGCCTCCACCGCCGCCACCGAAGCCCCCACCCCCGCCACCACTCCCACCGCCACCCCCACCCCCTCCGCCGCCTCCACCGCCACCTCCACCGCCACCTCCACCGCCACCACAGTGAGAGACCATCTTTCCTATCGCACTGCAGGAAAAGCTGCAGATCATCGACCCACACCTCAAAGTCGACAGCCCGACCCTCAGCATCAAAGGTGAGAACATTGGGGGTAGCCATGACAGCAGCAGCAGCAGGCTAGCAGCAGGAGCAGCAGGCTAGCAGCAGCAGCAGCAGGCTAGAAGCGGCAACAGCAGAAGGGGCGCGGCTCGGCGGTGCTCTTACCAGGGGCGGGTGGGTAGAGGCCCGCAAGCGGTGGGGCAAGGCCGAGGTGCGCCGGTAGGAACAGGGCCGCGACAGGGCGGCAGAGGAGGGCCGCGCCTCGGCTGCAGGGTAGGGCCGAGACGGCGGCGGCGGATGTCACAGCATTGGCAGCGGCAGTTGTCTCAGCAGGAGCGGCGGCGGCTGTCACGACAGCAGCGGCGGCGGCGACCGGTCGTGGAGGGGCCGCGGAGGAAGCAGCGGCGGCAGCAGGCGCGACGGCAACTGCTGCTGGGGCGGCGACGACGGGGCGACAGGGCCGTGAAGAGCCGGAGAGGGGCCGCTAAGGGGCCGCGACGAGCCGCGAAGGGGCCGCGGAGGGGCCGTGAAGGAGCCGCGAAGGGCCGCTGAGGGGCCGTGAAGGGGCCGCGAAGGGCGGCGAAGGGGCCGCGAAGGGCGGCGAAGGGGCCGAGAAGGGGCCGCGAGGGGCCGCGAAGGGACCGCGAGGGGCCGCGAAGGGCCGCGAAGGGGCCGCGAAGGGCCGTGAGAGGGGCCACAAAGGGCCGCGAAGGGGCCGCGAAGGGGGCCGCGAAGGGGCCGCGAAGGGCCGTGAGAGGGGCCCTGAAGGGGCCTTAAGAGGGCACGACGAGCCGCTAAGGGCAGGGGACGCGACGGGAGGGCAGGCGCATGGGGCGCGACTAGGTCAGGCGCGAAGCGCAGTCCGGGCAGGTAAAAAAAAAATCTTTTCAGTGGTGGGCCCTAGGAAACGTTCCCACTAGGGAACCTGCTCTATACCATGTGAAATAACGATGAATGATTGACTAGGAAATGAGTTGGGTACAAATATGTAACCCTAGGAAACTGTACCCCATACTGTCTACCCCACTACAGCCTAGAAAGACTATAGCATGAATGTTTGACAGAGTCCTCTGTTCGTTTGGTTTTAACGCGCACACCGTGAGCTCACCGATATTTGTTATTAGGTTCAGTTTGAAGAATCCTCCCTTTTTTTTTCGCACGTCGGTAACTCGCTCTGATGTGCATACGTAACGAAGTCGCTGCAAGCGCGCCATTGGCCCGGTCACGCGTCTTCGCAGAGCTATCTAGCGAGCATCAAATACATATGTACAGTACTATTTCCCACGAGCATTCAAGCCACGTGTCGCCCACTAGCGCGTCGCACAATGACACGCGGCGAGTTCGGATTAAAAGGCGAAATGGCTTACCGATTTCGCAGCAGCATTCAGGCGACGACGACATTGCGCGAAAAGGGAATGGAAAGCCGCCGAGCTGGACGGAAGCCAGAGCCACAAATCCCGTTCGTGCCACTTTTCGTTCTGACAGTGATGGCCATGTGCCAGAGCACCAACAAGCGCGGCATGAAACGAGCCCAAAGTGATCCAATGGCTGAATCGCACGCAACGCGAAATTTGCATGAGCGGGAATGTGTGTTTGGAGCCATGCAGAGAGGGCCTGAGTCATACTCTTCCGTGTGTTCTGAAACGCGAACGACACTAACAGGATCGACGCGAACGACACTTCCACGAACGAGTCTAACAAAAGGCCACGGGAATCTTGATTGCGCGAAACCTGAACACTATGTTTTCTCAAAAATTCGCAACTGCTAGACTGACCCCTGCTGATGTGTTTCGTGTTGTGTTGTGTTCTCTTTGCCCTCTGGAATAAACGATTTTGCAATCATGATTGAGTTTGCTACCTAGACTTAACACGACAAAACCCCCGTTGAGACCTAAACAGGTGTAGCACAACCCGATTCAAAAACAAAAACACAAAAGCGAATCCAGAGTAAAAAAAACTCAACCACCCGTACGCCAAAAACATGCCGCGATCACATTTCCTCCGTTTCATCGTCGTCAAGCTCAATAGCCTGGGAGCCACCTTCGTCGTCCGATTTCGCGGCACTCTTTTTTCCAGCCTGGGAGCCACCTTCGTCATCAGATTTCGCGGCACTCTTTCTTACACGCGACCGGCTAACGTCACGATTCTTGGCCTTCGCGCGTTCGTCACCGCACTCGATGTACAAGCCCAGCGCCCGCATCTTCTTTGCGGCATCTGGGTCGAAGTTCCAGGTTCTCAGCACATCCACCTTCTCGTGAATGGTGCTCTTCTCATTTTTCGTGACAGATGCTTTTTTCGCGACCTCGAAATGTTTCGCGACCTGGAGTTCGATCTTAGCAGCATCATGTCCCTTCTTCGCTGCTGTGACGATGTGCTTCCAAACCGCGAGGTAGAGAACCACGCTCAGATCGCTCGCTCCTGCAAGCAACGCGGCCTGTTTCGCGCTCGCTTCCGCGCTCTTCAGATCACATCCCTTACACTGCATCCAGGAAACTGCGCAAACAAACGCCACACTCCCAGCACCAGAGGGCACAAACTTCTTGCCCTTCGCGGATGAATCGTCCGCCACGGTCTCGAGTCCAACCGCAGCAGAGCAGGCGACCTCGTCGCTCGCTTCCGCGTTTTCGTTCTTTAAAGTCCTGTATCGTTTCATCACAGCTCGAATCCTGCATGCGGGACATCGATATAATTAGAGACGTGTTGTATAATGACATCGCAAACCACCGATACCAGACTATTCGGACCTTTCGGGGCTCGCGCAGATACCTCGCAGATAAAGCACCGCGAAAACTCCAGGGTGCATAATCCGCGCCACATCAAGATCGGAGGTCCACTCCTCTTTTTCCTCGTCAATCAGAACCAGCTTGTCCTCGGTAATCTTCTGATTCCACACCATCTGTGCCACCGCGCACAGAAACCGCACGGTAGGGAGCTTGGCGTGGGAACCGAAGTACCAGCGTGACGAGTGGTGAAGCTCCAAGGTGAACAAGCCCCGCGAGTTTTGCCGTATACCAACGCCCCATTTCGGATCCTCCTTCTCCTTTCCTTTCGCGCTTCCCTTCTCGTCCGCCTTCTCCGGGTGCTGAACCATGGACAACCACTTCTGCATGGCCTCCGTTGCCTTAGCATCTGCGTCAGGGATTTCCTCTGCGCCATGCAGCAAGGGCACACCAGCCTGCTGGGTCGCGGCACCTCCAGCTGCTGGCGGCCCTCCAGTGCCAGACGCGATCGGCGAGGGCCTCTTGACAGTCGCACCCGCGGCTTTGGACTTCTGAGCCAAACTCCCGCAGCCAGGTTCTCGGGCCTCCGGTTGCTCGGACGAGCCCTTTGCTTTCTTGGGGGGCGGCGAGGGTGAACGGGGTGTCGGTAACCCTTATGGCCTCTTCACCCCGCGATCCTCGCTCCCCGTTGCTTCTGCGGTTTCAAAGCGCAAGGGTCCGGTGACCATCCTGATGCCTCCACCTCCACGGTCCGCGGCAGTCGCCACACCTGCCTCGAGCGTCCCCATCCTTCCCCACGGGGCCATCTCGTAACGCGTTCGCGCCACCGCATCCAAAATCGAATCGGCAATCAAAGCCTTCAGTCCCACCATCGTGTCCTCCAACCTACGGAGCGTACGGTCCGCGGTGCGGTCCACAGCTGCAGACCCACGCTCAACCCTTGCTCCTGGACCAAGCCCTCGACTGTCCGCGCCCATTCTTCCTCCAGTGGCAACATTGCGGTCTCGCTGCTCACCGTCCTTGCCGTCGCCATCCCCTTCACCCGCCCCCTCGGTTTCTTGATCGCCCTCTGCTTCCTTATATTCCTCGTCGTCGGACTCCTCCTGCCTGGCCTCGACCGCGTGTCGCCGGCCTGACGCCTCTCCGGACCCTCCGGCCTGGTCGGAGATGCTCATTTTGATAGCGATGTCCTGCGCGTGCTTCAGAATTTGGCCGCGAGTTGCTTTCAGATTCTTGTTCGCCACGGCACAGACCGGAGCATCGGAATTCTTCGCCAGAGTCACGAATTCCGAAAGCAGGCGCTGGAACCCGTAGACGCTCTTCACGCCCGATCCACACCGCGAATCATCTATCGCGGTTAGGTCCTGCACGCGATTACAGAAGATAGGTCAGTTTCGCAGAGGCGTGCAATGTGCAATCAGTGAGTGCGTTTGATTTCCCACGAACCATGTGTGTCCGCTTCAAAGCCATCACCCGCGGATGCACAAGTTTAAGGCTGGGCTCCTTGTCCTGTTTTGCATACGTCTCGAAAGAGGACTTGAACCACCTGCGACCCAAATCGCACGGCCACGCGTCAGAAGTCGGAATCAGCGCGAACCCTCCAAGTGCGAAAAAAACATGACAGTTTTCTTACGCGACAATCTCCTCCACCTTCGAGGCGTGCCCGTCAGGTCCCACGCCCGGGTCAATATGGATGAGTTGAGTCGCGCAGCCCTCGCTGCCCTCGTTCTGCAAGTCGTTCGGCTTGAAAAACACGATAATGCTACACAGCGGCTCGTTGATATCCGACCTGCTCATGGCCATGCGAAAAAAACGTTAGGCACTGCACTAGTTCCATTTCGCATTGCTCGTGAAAATCGCGGCCAATCCGTACTTGGACCACAGGGGGAAAGCGAGGAGGTCGGACTTGAGCATGGCGGGTATGGGGGCATCGGATGCCAGCAACTTTGCTTGCTGCGCCGACGTATAAATCTTTGTCGTTTTGCGTCGATCACCTCCGTGTTTCTCCAACACGAAACTGAGAACATAACAAAAAACACGAGCAGCTTAGATCCGTCAGAACAATACCGGCGCGCGATTGAAGATGAAACACGAAGCGCACTCTTACATGCACGCGAAATCGAGGACTGCGGCGGTGAAGTCGGCGCTATCGTCCGCGAGAACGGACTTGTCTTCCGCGGCCAGGACAACGGTGGCTCCGCCCGCCTCCACTGCGACGTCAAACTTCTTAAGGCACCCGACGGGGTCGGACAACGCTCGCGCCTCACAAGCCATCCTGTCGAAAACGCGAACGGCACAATTCATCATGGCATGCGCGACCGACTGGCGAGCAACATTCGCATCACGAACTCCCAGTGACTGGGTTTAGGGTCGCGAAAAAAATACGAGGTTCAACGACGCGAAACATGACCGGGTTTAACGACGTGAAAAATGACGGGTTCAACTACGCGAAAAATGACGGGTTCAACGACGCGGAAAATGAGCAGCGAACAAAAACCAAAACCGTGCCGATCACTGCGCACTATTTCTACAATCCCGAATTACGCAAAAAAACCAAAATTACAACACACCGCACACCACAACAATCTCGGGCCCTACAATTCACCTAGCTATCCACACTCACCCCTTGCACACAAAATCCGCCCACCCTCCTACACCTTTCCCCTATCCCAAGCCCCCGGTGCTCACCTGGGTTGAAGTTCGAGAGCAGAAGCGAAGGTTGAGAATCGATTGCAAAAAATCACAATCGCTTGCACAAATGAGAAATGACGACCTCGGGCCCCTTTTACCCCCTCCCCACTCGTGAACCCACGGCTGCAACATCCACCGGTTCGGGTTCACGCGAACCAGGACTTTTGCCACGGACGTGTCCCAAACTGCGGCTGTGAGGCTCGTTGGGGTTTCGTCCTCGCCTCAGCGTCGCTTGTTTGGAGACTCGGGGACTTAGTGTACCGTGTGGCATGCAAAGTGTACAATCGCGATTGTGATGGAGATGTTTTCGCTATTGTGATGCGCTAATTTCTTATTATTATGGTCGAACTGATACGCAACATCGTAATGAACGAAACGACATGCACGAGTGCAGGTGGTCCCCGAGCAGCTGCGTCACCAGGTCGGGTTCTGAGTCAGCTGGGTGGTCCCCACGGTTGGGTGGTCGAGTAGAACTCTGTCGTGTGACGTTTAGTGAGGAAGAGAGGAATTATATTGTGTGACGTTTTCATCGAACCCGCGATCGTCATGCCTTGGAACGGAAAAAAATCAAACTCTAATGGATGGATCCAAATGAAGAGACTTGACTAGCTTTGACTTGTAGTATGCAACTTGCTTTGATTTTCGAGACATTCCCATTGTTCGCTTAGACGAGTACTCCGGGGTGAGGTCGCACATTCGAGCTTGCTAGAGCTTTGTAGCGTAGTGTTGTCTAAACCGTTGCTTTTCCGTGAGTGAATTGTGCTCTACATATATTGCGCCCCATGATTTTCAACTAGTTGTTTATCACTATAAACTGATTGATGGTTTCGAGCACAATCCTGCTACTTTATAATGCAGTACTCTGTACTAAAGTCTCAGCCATGCTTAGTTTCCGAAGTAGGAGTGTAGGAATTGATGGTCTAAATTTTAACCCAAAACCGGCGCTAATCAACAATGTTCCGAAGACACAAATGTAACTCTGAACTAGGGGTCGGTGTAGAGCACAGTAGAAGAGAAGGTAACAATGGTTCCAAGTCAAGAGAAAATTAGAAAAGAGGTCCAAAAAGGGATGACCAGGCAAACATGGAAGCAACGAACTTGGGGAACTACTTCTTCAGTTTAGCCAGCTTCTTTGGCTCCTCGATCTTGATCTGCTTCCAATTATCTTTCCCAAACATCGTCTCTCCCCACACGTCACCTTCCATGTTGGCAGCGAAAAAGAGGTACCCGACCCTGCGGTGTTTGTTCTACGTCGTCATATCCCTGTTCGGTGGTGGCTCGTCTCCGAAAATCATGCCATCCGCCAGAGCGCTGATCGAACTCCGATCCACCACGTCCAACTGGATCTTTGCAATGGCTGCTCGGGTGGCCTCCTCCGATTCATTAGCCCTGTACTTCTCAACTGTGAGCATCATGTTCCTCATCCGCTTCATTTTTTTGTCGCCTGAATCGTCCTTTTTTCCCTTCTCAATATAAGAGAAAGTGGGGTAGAAACTCTTTTCGGACGACAGCTGGCGGAGCGTCTTTCCGTCCATCAAAAAAGTCACCTTCACCCTGTGTTCCCATGCCTCTGTGACCGTCTCCGAGTCCCGCCAGGTTTTAACGACAAGGTCGAAAAATGCCTGCACCGGAGTGGTGACTTGTGGCTTCTCGGGCTTCGGAGCCTCTCCACCAGCTTCCACCTTTGCCGATGCGCTCGTCCCTGGACCTGCAGCCTCTGCGTTAGCGTTGGTCGGGGCATGCGCCTTCAAAGCAGCCAGCTCCTGTTTGAGCTGCTCGAGTTCAGCGGCTGTTTTTTTCTCCCGCTCTTCGCTTGCAGCGAGCATGTTCTTGAGCTCTCCAATCTCGTGATCATTCTGACCACAATCGATCCGGAACAAGTTGTTCTCTACGAGGAGCTTTTGGTACTTTCGCGTAGAGTTCAGCTTGTAGATCGCATCCTGCGGGAAAACGAACGAGGGTTTTCAGAGATTGTCAGATTTGCCGAAATGGAAGTAAAAAAACAGAGAACTATTGTACTTACAGCGGCTGCAGAGCTGCCCCGGGCTTCACGAAGTTCAATGCCATTCTTGTGCATGATTGCAACTTTGATGGCCCACTTCTGAAACAATGGGTGGCGGCAGCGCGGATTCATGTCCGTGTACGGGTGGCGCTGGCACTCGCATGGCCGTCTTGTACCGTCGAACAGCTTGTCGTGATCGGGGCAATAGAACCACCACAAGGCAAGGTCCTCTGCCATGATGTCTCGCCCAGGGTTCGCAAGAGCCTCCAAAAAACTTCTGCCATAGAGGTGCATCTTCTCTGGATTGTCTTTGTTATACTTATCGACCTGAGATGATAGGACAGAGAGTTGAGTGAGCTCTGACACGCGTAACAAAATCTGGCAACAGCTAAAAGCTGGCTACTTGAGGGATACCTCTGCCAACTGAGATTCGAGGCGCGGGAAGATGAACTTCTTGAAGAGGGCCTGCAACTTCTCCCACTCGACAGGGTCGTCGAGCTTGGCGTGCGCTCTGCCAATGTAGTAATTGTGAAGAATGAGGAATGAAGAAGAGAGGAGGTTCACTAGCAAGCAATTGAGTACATATAGCAAACCCTAAATTGGGCTGTACTCACTATTGAGTACCCCACTGCAGACTAGAGAAACATAATATTCTGACACACCCCCATAGTCAAAGTGGGGTGTAATCAGCACAACAAGCAAAGCAGAACAAGCTCAGGGTGGATCACAATGTCACCACACATTCTGAGCACAAGTAGAAGAAGCAACAGTTTAAAGTTCACAAATGTAAGCAAAGCTAGAGGCTATCGCAGAGGGCAAGTGTGGAGGAGGAGGGACTATGAGAGGAGAGGAGGTAGTGGGCGGCATCTGAAGCTGCTGGCACACGGCGCAACTGGAGCAACTGGCACACGGGCAACTGGAGCAACTGGCACACTGGCAACTGGAGCAACTGGCACACGGGCTACTGGAGTAACTGGCTCCGCGGCTAACTCTGAGCGGCAGGAGCAACGGACTCACGGGCGACTGGAGCAACGGGCTCACGGGCGACTGGCGCAACGGGCTCACGGGCGACTGGCGCAACGGTCTCACGGGCGACTGGAGCTGCGGGCTTCACGGCGGCCACCCCCTTCAACCTCCCCAAACTATCCCACCCCCATTTCACACACCCCCTACTGCACCCCTAGGTTCACTCACACCCCACCCCCTAGCACCACTCCGTCGACTCCCACACACCCACCCCCCTCAGCGGCAGCTGCAGCAGTGGGAGATAGAGGAGGAGGAGGAGCAGGGGAGACCACACACCCGCCACCCCCTACTCGCCACCCCCAAACCCTAACACAGGGCAGGGCCGGGCGACGGGTAGGGAGGTTACGGGGGGGGGGGGGGAAGGGGGGGGCCGACGCGCGGCCTCCCTGGGCGCCAAAGCAAGCGGTAGAGGGGGCGACGCTCGCCCCCCCCCCCCCCCGGTCGCCCCTCCCGTCG